GAACCAGCCACAGGAAAGGCATCACAGGGAACAGAAGCTCAGGTCATTTATTAATCACTGCTCACTCCCAGCCCTTTGGAATGGCATCTGTTCCCACGGGCAGCCTCAGGCACTTGGCACACCTGAAGGGCAGCACTGATTTATTTCTGTCCCTGCTCCCCGGCACAATCCTCCAGGGAATGGCATCTCACACACACCCGGATCGATACGGGCTGGCCACAGATTGCAAAGAGAGCAAGAGCAGGCTGAGGAATACAAACCAAGCACGGAGGAGGAGGAGGATTCCAAGGCAGCTCCAGAAGGAGCAAAGACTTCACACGAACCAAGAAATGCAGATAATTTCCATATGGCCCTATGGAAGATCACCGTGTGCTTCCTCCCAAACGCTTCAATTTTATTTTGCTTTTTAGTGTCTCAGGAATCACACTTTCCACTATCAAAATTCTCCTATTCAAAACAGCTTGACTACATATCTGAGTGCCAGAGTAACTCTGAGTATCTGAGCAACTCCTGCGAGTGAATCAGCTGCGAGTAAAATTCATTTCCCAGCTACTTCAATGTTTACCACGAAAAACCAGAAGGTTTTCAGATTTTTAGGAGGAGGTGCTGCGTGCAGGGCGGCACACCTGCGAGATACATGAAGAACTTTAATTATTTTTCATTTTATACCTTTGAAAAATGTACTGACACCAGGGCAGCCCCTTCCCTGCCCACAGACTCATCTGTAACCTCAGGATCAGGCAGCCTTAGTTGTCATCAGCTGCATCCCCGAACCCACACCAGCACCAGGCTTCCAGGAGTTAACAAGGAGTCAAAACTCCCCCTCAAGGGAACATGGGAACACACAAGACATGCAATCGTCCTTCCAGGCTCTTGACTATTTTAAGCACAAGAGATACAGAACTTCCCAGGCAATGCCTTGTTCTGTACCAGGCTGGCAGGGCTGCACCGCACTGGGATGTCCCCACCAGCAGGAGCTGCCATCCCCTGATGCCACCAGCATCACCCCTCAGCCTTTGAGAGCTGTATTCCCCACCTACACCACAGCCAGACCCAGGTTTAAACCCAGAAATCACCAGGTTCAGACCCAGAAGTCATTTTTCCACGCTCCTTCGACAGACAAACAAAGCGGGAGGAAGTGTCCCCAGCACGCCGCGGTTTTGGGGAAGACTTTGGGGACGTCCAGCAGAGGGGGAGTGCTGTGCACAGCCACCCATGGGGCACAGAACACACCCCTGGACAGCACAACAAGGGATGAGCAGGGAAACATCAGTGGAAAAGAATCCAGTGCAGTCGTCAGCCTCCTCCAGCACCACCAACTGCGCCATCCGGGCGGGAAAGGACGGGAGGCACAATCTGCTGGTCATCCATATGGATGTCTTCCCTTTCTCCTTCCACAGGATCTCAAACGAGGTCAAGTGCACACACTCAGCCTTGTTTTCTGACAAATTTGTAACTAAAAAGGTGGAACTAATAACTGCAAGAGCCCAGAGCTGGTATCATGGACTTATTTAGGCAAAAGAGCTGGCTGACTCCACCGACTCCCAGCTAAGCAAGGTAATAGGGAGAAATCCCGAGCAAAAATGTAAATCCCAGCTCAGCGAGCCACTTAAGCACATGCCTAATGCAAAGCTGGAAATAAATCCTGCTAATAAGCGGGCTGCTCACTTCTTCACAGCTAGGCTTGAGTACCTGGAGGAGCTGGAAATACCCCCGAGCCCCCGGAAAAGAGCCTAAACCAGACTGCTCTGGGAATTAATCACAGCAGTGTGAGCAGAACTGTTAATATGAACTGGAGGAGGACTCTGTGTGTGTGTGTGTGTGTGTGTGTGTGTGTGTGTGTGTGCTGAAGCATCTGTTCAAGTTTAGGCATATAAAACATTTTTCAGCCCAGTGACTCCAGAGGGAAATGCCTCATACATCAGCTCATCTGACTCAATTTTTCCATCACATTTCCCTTAATACAGTTTTGTCCATAAATACACTATTTGTTTTTTTTCCAAATATAGATTTTTATTTATAGCCAGAAAACCTTGTAACTTGTGTTACTGCTTAAAGCCCTGGGTTCTGCTTCGAGACGGAATCAGGTTCTGCTTTGAAATGGAACCACTGAGGAATTATTTTCCAGTAGTGAGGTATGAAACCAAGTTCTCTCCGTTTGCAGAAGGAAAAGGGATTTCTTTTTGCTCCAATATTTACTGCTCTCAGTATTTCCTTCACCAGAGATCACCAGTTAAATCATAACTGCCCAGCCAACACGTTGAACATGGTGTTTATCCCATACCACATCCAGGAACTTTCACCTTAAATCTTCATTAAAAAAAACCACACAAAACTCAAACAAGTTTTCAAAAATCCCAGCCAGATCTTCCAGCCAGTCCCAAATTCGAGGAGGACTGTGCGTCACTGCCCGAGCGGTGATAATTCATATTTATGGCATGAGGTCAGAAAAGGAAATGTAATGTTGCCCTTTCCCCTCCGAGGAACACTTGGAAGACAAATTCCTTTTTGTGGCTTTTTACCGAAAGCGAACGAGGTCCCAAAACCAGGACCGGGAACGGGCGGTGATTGGGTGATTTTGGTGATTCTGACCTTTCAAAAGTATGGGGTTTTTTTCAGAGGCAGAATTTAGGCATTGAGCAATACCAAACACGGCCAGTGAAACGTGATTTAATACAGTTTAAGCACTGTTAACCACAACTTGAGTTAAAAAAAAGCACAGCATGTTATTCCATGGCACAAGCACAGGGCAGTGGAATTGCACTCCTGCTGCTCGTGGGAAGTGCAGAGCCCAGCTGGAAGGACTGATAATGCCACGGGGTTCTGCAGTAAAACCTTCACTCCCTCCCAAACGGGGCACACAACCACCCGTGGGGGCCCAGGGACCAGGTTTTGGGGGCTCCTCCATAATTCCAACCTGGTGGGCAGCAATGTGCTTCCCTGCACAGTGCAGTGCTCAAGCAGAGCTACCAAAAAAAGCAGGGAGCATTGACAGAGCTTCTTGCACAGGCACAATTTACTTCCTATTGAGCAGATAAAAATAAATAGATCTGGAGCATAAGTCAGCTCAGTGGAGTGGCAGCACAAAACACAAAGGCTGGAAGCAGGGTGGGAGGAAAGGATCACTTTCCCCCTAATGAGGCAGCACAGCAACAAAGGGTTCCATTATCCACCAGGGTTTCACTCCAACTGTTTAATGACTGTCACCCTTGTCCCAGTTCGTGCTGCTGATCAGGGGATCCTGTCCCAGCGGGAAGGGTGAGGATGAACGAGGTACCTCACACAAGGTAGCAACGCGCCTCGTGATTCCCACCTTGGAAAACCACGGTGGAAAGTCATAAAATACCCCCTCTTTGTCGGCTCCATGTTGATGGTGAGGCTACAGCCCCAGAGAATCACAGAGTATCCCGAGCTGGAAGGGATCCATAAGGATCATCCACATCCAGCTGTTGTTCTCCTCAGGCACACAGCCCCTCGCAGGTACAGAATTCACCCTGGTGAGCAGGGGCTGCCCCGCTCCTGGCTCACACTCTGTGCTGTTCCAGCAGCATTCCAGGGAAAGCTCAGCACGCTCTAACAAGTCCTCGGTGCCAGTATCACAGCTGGGACAAAGCCGAGGCATCAGCAGCGCTGCCAGTGTCTGCCGGCTCCGCTTTCCCCGGCTCCAGCTCCCCGGAGGAGCACCAAGGCACAGGGGCTGCAGCCACCCAACCCACAACACACCCGAGGAAGGGGTTTTCAGGATTATCCAACCCCTGACTGTGTGTTTTTAGTCTGCTTTGTCGGCCTTTTAAGGGCTAGATCACACCTGGGTACAACCTTGGGCACCGGACCTCATCCTGTCCTCGGCAAAAGTGACAGATTGGGAAAGTTTGGGGTTTTTTCACGGACTCGCAGAAGTTGCTGGCACTCAGCAAATGACTAAGTCAACAAATCTCTGCGTTACAATCAATCACAAACTCTCCACTGCTGATTAGATCTCTTGGCTTATAAGAATTTTCCTCTTGCAAACTCTAAAACCATCCAAACCCAGAAAAGACCTTTTAAGATAAAGCTGCACCTAAGCAACACAGTTCTCACACCAACTACCTTTAGAACCACTGGATTCTTCAGAAAAACTGTGTCTACAGTTAAAACTCTCCAGGCTGTACCAAAATCTTTGTTAAATTCCTAAAGTTGGTGTAAACTTGCCCAGCAAGGTTTTCTTTTAACCTTTCCTTTGCCGGGGACCGGCCGGGACCGCTGGGACTCCTCACTGCCCAAACATTCCCAACCTCTTGGGGCTCTTCTCTGAACCCTTCAAAGTGAGTTGTGCTCTGAGTCGACCCAGATTTTCCAGTTATTTACTGTTTTTTCCATCACTTGCACGTTATCTGTGATGAGTTGGGTGTTTGCTTCGACGTGACTGGCAAAAACAGTCTCTAATGATGGGCTAAAGACGAAACTCACCTAGCAAACAGGTATTTCATGAAAATTCCTCCTGGGAGTTGCTTTAAAAAAACCCCAAAATGTTAATATTGTTGCATTAATTGAGAAAACACTTAGTTTGGTAAATGGAAACTTGCCACTCCAGTCTAAAAGCACTTGAAGGCAGCCAGACCCTTCGGTAAGGGAGCAGCCCCGTCAGGAAAATGTTCTTAATAACTTTTCACCACTTCACCTGATAAACTGGCTAAAGCCCGTTTGAAGAGGACGAGAGACCCTGGGTGAGGAGCCCGAGGAGCAGCTGGTCATGTTTTCCACAGAAAAAGAACAGAGACCCTCTGGTAAAACAAGTTTCCTGTGATGTGAAACACAGCCCTCCAAAGGGACGTGTCCCGGTGCTCCTGGCTCTGTTCTGCCCCATTTCAATTTGGAAATGGCAGTCCAACCACTGGTTTTTTTTGAGGAACACACTGCAAAGGGACGGTTTCCACAAAGAAGGAGCCCCAGCAAGGCTGGCAGGGCAGACCCCCACACCCAGCACATCCCCCCCGAGCCCCCAGCCCCTCAGCCCTTACCTCGCCTCCTCCTCGCTCGCAGGCATGGTCCGAGCCCCGGCTGCACCCGGGAATGCCCTGCACTCCAAGTACTCCAGCTCTGCTCCCGCGAGGACCAGCCCCTCGTTCCCAGCTCTGTCACTGCCCACAGGAGCGGGACGGGCCGAGCGAGTCGCGCATTCGCCAGACACCGAAATGTGTGACAGCTCAGCCCACCCCCTGCGAGCCGCGCAGCCACGGGAGCACAGAGCCGCCAACACCGTCCTGCCTGCTCTCCAGAGGAACACTGGAGCCACTGCCAGCACTGCTGCAAACCCTGGAGTCAATGCCAGCACTGCTGGAATCCCAGGAGTTAATGCCAGCACTGCTGGAAACCCAGGAGTTAATGCCAGCACTGCTGGAAACCAGGAGTTAATGCCAGCACTGCTGGAATCCCAGGAGTTAATGCCAGCACTGCTGGAATCCCAGGAGTTAATGCCAGCACTGCTGGAAACCCAGGAGTTAATGCCAGCACTGCTGGAAACCCAGGAGTTAATGCCAGTGCTGCTGGAAACCAGGAGTTAATGCCAGCACTGCTGGAATCCCAGGAGTTAATGCCAGTGCTGCTGCAAATCCACGACTTTCACTTGGAGTCCAACAGCACAAAAAAGCTCCAATTCCCTTCTAAAAATCCTTCCCTATCCCGCTTCACAGGACTGAGCTGAGCTGTTCCCCCAGGAAAGCACGGGTACAACTTCGGAATATACTTAGAAAGAAGCAAAAATACAAAAGAAAGGCACCTTGCATTTTCCTAAGCACAAATCTTGACAGAACACAACAAGTTTCCCTCTCCAATGACCTGAAGAACGGAGGGTTTGGTAACTGCACTGACAGCTGGCTCATTGAACATCCCCGTGACAGGGATTTCTAACAGGAAGGGACGGTTTGGGGTTTTTGTAGCCAATTATCCATGACCTACAGCAGGCAGAAGACACGGAAATAACAACAATAATCAACGGTCTGTCAGATGGAAGGGTTTTGTTCTTCCTCTCATCTCCAAATACCAACTGAACACCCAATGAAAAAGCTGAACCCAGTGGTACCAACTGTTGCTCCAGAATCCATACAGTACATCCATGCCCTAATTACTCCCCATGAACTATCTCCTATTTGTAATTAATTTGACGGTGGAACAAAACCAGCACTTCCCTGGGAAGCAAGGTCACACTGCCCAGAAAGCGTCAGGACTAATTCCTACCAACAGAAAAGAGAATTGGCTAAAAAAAAAAAAAAAAGCGAGTAAAAATAGCTGTACAAATGTCACTCTTGTGAAATTTTACTGTGCTGGGTGAAAGTCAGGCCTACGGAGGCAAACACTTCCCATTATCCCATAGAGGGGTGGATTTTTCTCCTTGTGCCTCTGTATTAGGGTCAAGCACAGAGAACCACAGAATGTCCTGAGAGGGAAGGGACCCACAGGGATTATCAAGTTCAGCTCCTGGCCTTGCACAGGACACCCCGACCATCCCACCGCGTGCCTGAGAGCGCTGCCCAAACGCTCCCTGAAGCAGAAGGGTATTTCCCAGAGCGATGCCAACCCGCAGGGCTGCAGCTCCGGGCAGGGCTGGGGAGGTTTATCCGGGCAAGGAGAGCAGGGGCTGCTGCTGCTGCTGCTTCCAGGGCTTGTGCCGGAGCTGCAGCTCCATCCACCGCCGCGGGCCGACCCCGGGGATCCCTGAGCCGGGAGGGGAGGAGGGCGCAGGGGTGACACGGGAGGGGACACGGCAGGAGAGGACGGAGGTGCCCCGGGAGGAGGGGACGGGGGTGAGCCGGGGGGTGCCCCGGGAGGTGCCCCAGGTGCGGTCACACCTGTTCCCGCGCTCGCTCCTCACCGACGGGGCTCGGCCACGTGCACCGGCCGCTGCTGCCGGGAGAGCCCCGGCGGGCTCGGGGATCGCCTCAGGGATCGCTTCGCTCGGCGTGAACAGCGCGGAGAGGCCCGTCCGGAGCGCGGGGGGACGCGGGGACAGGCGGGCGGCGCCGGGCCCCTCACGGCGGCGGAGCGCGCCCGGCCCTGCCTCCGGATCGCCCCGGAGCGCCCGGCTCTGCGGCCCCCGCCTCCCTCAGCCCCACAGCTCCGGCCCCTCAGCTTCCCGCCGTCCCCCTCAGCCTCCCGCCGCTCGCTGCCCTGCACCGCCCCCGGGGCTCCTGCCCGCCTCCGGCTCCTGCGGGCCGGTCCCCTCACGGCGCCGGCTCGGTGCCCTCGGTGCCCGCGGGTCCCGCTGGGTTCCCGCTCTGTCCCGCTTTCCCCTCACCCCCACTCACGGTCCGGCCCTGGCCGTGCCGGGGCCCCTCGGCCGCCGAGCCCGGGCGGGGGGCGCGGGGCGCATGCGCGGAGCCCCCTCAGCCCGCGCGGGCCGGGGCGGGGGACAGCGGGAGTGAGGGGAGAGGGACGGGGGAGAGGGGGAGTGAGGGACAGAGGGACTGAGGGACGGGGGAGACGGACCGAGGGACCGGGGGACGGGGGACTGAGGGGGAGAGGGCCGGGGGGACTGGGGGACAGAGGGAGAGAGGGACTGAGGGATGGGGGGAGAGAGGGATTGAGGGAGAGAGGGACGGGGGACAGAGGAAGAGGGGGACTGAGGGACAGGGGGACACGGGTGGTGACAGCGCGTGAGAGAACAGGTCCCCCCCTATAACGGGACACGAGGAGAGGGGTGCGAGACAAGGACACTGCAAAGAGAACGGGCACACGGGGACACGGGAGCAGGGAGAGCAGGACAGGGACACCAGGAGCAGGATGGGGATGGGGCCGTAGGGAGAGGGGGAAAACCAGGGCCATTGGGAGCAGGAGAGGGACAGGAGCAGGGTGGGAAATCAGAAACGGGACCGGGGCAAGGACACAGGGAGCAGGATGGGGACAGGGACACGGGGAGCTGGACAGTGATGGGGACAGTGGGAGCAGGGCTGTGGATGGACACCAGAGCAGGATGGCGGCACTGGGAACGGGAAGGGGACAAAGACACTGGGAGGAGGATGGGGACATGGGGAGCGGGACAGTGGAGACAGTGGGAGCAGGATGGGCGATAGGGACACTGGGAGCAGGATGGGAATGGGGACATTGGCTGGGGTGGAGACAGGGAGACCAAAGCAAGGTGGGATGGGGGCATCAGGAGCAGGACAGGGACAAGGACACAGGGAGCAGGATGAGGACAGGGACATGGGGAGCAGGACAAGAATAGGGACACTGGGATGTGCACAGGGATGTGGACAGGGACACCGGGAACAGGATGGGGACATTCCCCGAGCCCAACAAAGCTGCTTTGTGCGGGGAAATTCCAGCCGCATGGAAGGGGCCGGGGTGGGGGTGGGGGTCAGGGTGCAGCCGCACAGCCCCCGTTCCCAGGGCAGAGCCGTTTCCGTGGAAAATTCCCAGCTCACGTGCGCGGGACCAGGTTTTCGGCTGCGAGGGCTCAGGCCCCGCTGCGGGTCAGTGTTTTCCAGCCGCTGGGAAGAGCCTGCGTGAGAACCGGCTCCTTCCCACGCCTGCCCGGCCGCTCCCGCCGCCTTTCCCCGGGGTGACGGCCGGGGCGCTGCTCGGATCCGCAGGGATCCAGGGGATGGATGCTCGGATCCGCAGGGATCCATCGGGCAGCGCAGCCCCGCGGTTCTGCTCTCCGAGGGCAGGGAGAACCAGCGCTGGTGCCCGGTGGTGTCCGGGTGTCCCCGTGGGACCCTCCAGCTGCCTTATCCGACCCTGGAGAGCCCGGGGTGGGACGAGGGATGTCCCCTCCCTGGGACAAACGTGCTGTGCAGCACAGGCACTGCCGGCCCCCCTCACTGATCCTGCTGCACAGCATCCAGGGACTGCTCCAGGAGATGCCTGGCCTGGCCCCCGGGGGCCCAGGGTGGTGCTGGGCTGTACTGGGAGGTGACAAGCACCCCCAGCAGGATTGAGCTCCCCCTTCCCCCTGGACAGAGGGGGAACACGCTGCCAGTGAGGCTCCAGTGCCAGGATGGATGTGGGAAGCTGTGGGGTGCAGGAATGGCTGAGCCTGGTGACAGGGCTGGAGCCTCCGCACCGTGTGCCCTCCTGCTGGGAGATGGGATGAGGCGATGCCGGTGTCTGCAGGCAGGAAATCCTTCCCCTCCCTGTTTTCCAAGCTCCATCGGCCCCGAATTATCCCCCACAACATCCAGTTTCCACAGAGAGCCAGCAGGCAGCGGGATGGCTGGTCATGCTTTCCTGGGGATGTCAGCCCAGCACCTCCCAGTTTCCATCAGCAGCTGGCAGGAGGTTGTCCCTGGCTTCACCCTCTGCTCCCGCTGTGCTGGTGCCCCCAGAGCCACCTCGAGCCTCTCCAAGTGCAGGGATGTCCTGGAACAGGCTCCCAGCAGTGCCTCTGGGATGGACCAGCCTACCAGGGCCAAACCCAGCACGGCAGCACCAGGGTAGGGCCAGCCCAGGTTGGGCTGGGGACAGCCAGGGGCCAGGGAGGGGCAGGAATGTCCCCAAGAGCTGTGAACCAGCCCTGGTGCCACAGCACGTGCTCAGGAGTGACCAGGGGCACAGTCCAGAGGCACAGCCAGTGCAGGGGAAAGGAGATGAAGCACTAAAACCTCTCAGAGCAGGAGCAGCTGAGGAGAGCCCTGAAAACTCAACAAGATCCAGTGAGAAAGGAAGAAAATTCAAGACAAGTTTGTCCTGGGCTGGCTGGTCTGTTTGCTACCACAGGCAGGAGGGGATGACTTGATCCTTGAGGGTGGGACAGTGCTGAGGCCAGAGGGAACCAGAGCTGAGGATGGGGGAAATGGGAGCTGGGGATGGGGGAAATGGGGGCTGAGGATGGGGGAAATGGGGGCTGAAGATGGGGGAAACGGGGGCTGAGGATGGGGGAAACGGGGACAGCACACGCTGGGAGCACCAGGAAGACTCCCCCAGCACTGCCATCTCTGAGTATGATCAGACTAAGCCCAGCCTGGAAGTTTGTACTAAAATGTTTACAAGGGTTCAAAACAGGGGTACAAAAAAGGTCAAAGCCACACTCATCTCTCCTCCCAGGGAGCAGGTAGAAGCACTGCCCCCTCCAGATTCCCACCCCAGAATCTCCCCTCCTCAGCTGCCCCAAATGCCTGACACACACACTGTTTAGGCCCAGCCCTCAGGAATCTGGAGATATTCACAGTGCTCTGCTCCAGGTGCCTGGAGGAGCCAATCCAAGGGGAAAACCTTGCTGGAGGTCACAGTACAAACAGGATCAGGGCTCTGGGCTGCTCCCCAGGTGGGGAACGCCCACAAATGGTCCACGAATGCCCAGGGAAGATTTCCACAGCCACGGAAAAGCCATCTGAGGAGCAGCTCCCTGCGTGCCCTGAGCCTCCAGGAGCCAG